GTGCTATCGCAGTAGGCGCGAAAAACGGACCCTCACGAATGTGGTAAGCGGAAGTTGTATGGAATGAGGTAATGCCATTCCACTCGCGGTTTCTCCGTTGTTACTGTAAACAGTAACACTTATTATTACGATGTTTCGCTGTTCGTCTGATTATAATTGAGAAAACCCTGCATGTTTTAAGCATCTGAAAAACCATGGATATGTACGGTAAACACTGTTAACTGCAATCCACACTGAATTTCACTAGTTTCCGTGATTAACCAGAGCTCAACAGCGGATTTATTGATGTGCTATTTTCGATGATGTGAAGATGTGTGATCGCTGGGCAACTTTTATGGGAGCCACGGATTACCCCGCGGTTAACCGAATCCGCAGTATCACGAAGAGCGTTATTGCGAGGGATGACTGTATGGTGTTTGTTAAAGACACTATAAAATGCTAGTGAGTAAGTGAGTTTAGTTTTACACCGCATTTAACAATATTCCAGCAATATCACAGCAGGGGACACCAGAAATGGGCTTCACACATTGTACCCTTGTGGGGAATTGAACCCTGGTCTTCGGAGTGACGAGAAACGGTTTAGCCACTAGGCTACCCTACCACCCCTATAAAATGCTAGGATCACCCCTCTTTGGCATGTCAGCAAATAAGAGTGAGTGAGTGGGATGGGTTTAATTCACATTTTGCAACATCCCAGCAACATACCAGCACGGAAGTCCAGACTTTCACAAATTGTTCCCATGCATTCAGGGTGAACACTTCCACAAATATTTATCCTCCCTACAAAAACAAGTGAGTGAGTGAGTTTAGTTTCATGATGCTTTTAGCAATATTCCAGCAATATCACAGTAAGGGACACCAGAAATGGGCACCACATGTACCAATGTGTGGAATCAAACCTGGGCCTTTGGTGTGAAGGGCAAACACTTTAACCACTAGGCTACCCCACCAAGGACATGGTTGAAAAAAGAACCAAAAACTGTTTATTTATCACATGTTTTATGGCTCAACTAATTAAGAGTTGAAAGTTTAGAATAAACCAGTGTGACAAGATCTGAATCTGTAGAAAAAAGTCAGCTGAAAAAGAAACACCTTAAGTTCAGAACTGAAAGTAATTCTCTTAATTTTACACTTATATTTAAAAACAATTCGAGTAAACCAAATAACCGAATACAGAGTGAATGCGCATAGTTTTACGCTGACTTTAAGCAATATTCCACTAATATCATGACGTCAGATATTGTACTCAAGTGGGAAATCGAACCCGGGTCTTAACGATGACAAGGGGACGCTTTAACCACTAGGCTACCTCACCACTCCGAGTTTATTTAAGAAACTGCGCCTGCAGAAAGGAAAGAACTTCCATACTCTGAACCTTCATAAATCAAAGGTCTGTTATTTTTCAGCCCTATGATCACATGTACAACCCTTAAGGCATTATTGGCATTCAAACCTTTGAAACAGAATATCTCCAGCCAACTGAACCCTGAAATCAGGTTGAGTTCAGGCAGACTTTTCTGACAAATGATTATTCTCATTCACACATTCAAGTAAGTAAATAGCATCTCACAGCCATAATGATTACCCACGAGGGAAGGATAATGATCTTCAATTGGATCTGAGATCATAGCTCCAGCAGAGTCGGCAATCCTCAGGGTAATTTGAGTGACACTGAAGCTAGAGAAGAAATCTTACAGCTTCACCACAGGTCTTCACTGATGGCAATCTTACAGCTTCACCACAGGTCTTCACTGATGGCAATCTTACAGCTTCACCACAGGTCTTCACTGATGGCAATCTTACAGCTTCACCACAGATCTTCAGTGATGGAAATCTTACAGCATCACCACAGGTCTTCAGTGATGGAAATCTTACAGATAAATCACAGGTCTTCACAGCTTCACCACAGGTCTTCACTGATGGAAATCTTACAGATACATCACAGGTCTTCACAGATACATCACAGGTCTTCACTGATGGAAATCTTACAGATACATCACAGGTCTTCACTGATGGAAATCTTACAGATACATCACAGGTCTTCACTGATGGAAATCTTACAGATACATCACAGGGTCTTCACTGATGGAAATCTTACAGATACATCACAGGTCTTCACTGATGGAAATCTTACAGATACATCACAGGTCTTCACTGATGGAAATCTTACAGATACATCACAGGTATTCACTGATGGAAATCTTACAGATACATCACAGGTCTTCACTGATGGAAATCTTACAGCTTCACCACAGGTCTTCACTGATGGAAACCTTACAGCTTCACCACAGGTCTTCACTGATGGAAATCTTACAGATACATCAGAGTTCTTCACTGATGGAAATCTTACAGATACATCACAGGTATTCACTGATGGAAATCTTACAGCTTCACCACAGGTCTTCACTGATGGAAATCTTACAGCTTCACCACAGGTCTTCACTGATGGAAACCTTACAGCTTCACCACAGGTCTTCACTGATGGAAATCTTACAGATACATCACAGGTCTTCACTGATGGAAATCTTACAGATACATCACAAGTCTTCACTGATGGAAATCTTACAGATACATCACAGGTCTTCACTGATGGAAATCTTACAGATACATCACAGGTCTTCACTGATGGAAATCTTACAGATACATCACAGGTCTTCACTGATGGAAATCTTACAGTTTTATCAACATTTTTCAGTGATGAAGAAATAAAATTTTTGGTTGATTTTTGTCAAGGAATTGGAAACATAGTCAGCATCAACCAGAGGCAACCATTCACAAGTTAATGTTTCAGGGTTGTCACAACACAGACACACCATTTAAGATGAAATCTTCATATTTCACAACTCAATCATCAAAATCATAAACACACTGGGCGTGAAATACATCATGAGAGAAAAATTTAAATTTCGAACTGTTCTTCTGTCTTCTAAACTCATGCATCTTTATTTCAACAATTTCCCTTCCAAAACTAAGAACATGAACTGCTGTGGTCGCAGGGTGATGTCGTTTATGCCCCCCGAGGAGACAGAGATCTGGCATAGAGGGGGAAATGATGTAACCGTCTTGCACTGTATGCCAGAAGGTATTGATTTTACGAGAGCCATAACCTGCTTCATGACCCCCTCATTCAATATCTTTCAGTTTAATGATAAGGGCTTCTATTTGGGCCCTTGTCATGACATGTGCATGAAGCTCAGAGATTTTTTTAGAAACAATTACCACTGTCAGTTTTGCAGGTCTGTGTGTAAGGAAAATGTGTAGATACTATGAGTTTTGAAGATCATCTCAATGTTTTAAACTCAGTTAATGGTGGTTTTGTATTTACTATGTTTGGGAAATTTTCAGTTTCGCTTCAAGGCCAAGGTGGTCTTGTGTGTAGGTTTAAACACTTTAAAAAACAGAATTTCAGTTATAATACAGCACATGTAGTTGGGTGGGTGGGGTTGGGCGTATATGAGACTGGATGTGTGGATGTGTGGGTGTGTGGGTGGGTGTGGGAGAAATCCCATAAGGACATACAAGCATGGTGCATACCGGACCCAATAGGAGAATTTCCATGGACATTGAAAAATTGTGCAAACAAGACCCCTTGGACAATCCCAGAAGGACATGGTGCATACAGGACCCCAACAGGAGAAATCTCATATGGACATACATGTGGATAGATATGCGGGTGTAAGTGTTGGTGTATACGGATGTAGGTGAGGCTGGATGTGTGGGTGGAAGAAACAGTGCATGCATGGGCCCATGGGAGAAGACCATTACGGACATACAAAAATTGTGCATACAGGGCCCACCAGGAGAAGTCCATTCAGGACATACAAAAATGGTGCATATAGGACATAACAGGAGAAATCCCATAAGGACATACAAAAATGGTGCATACAGGACAATATAGGAAAAATCCATAAAGGGCATATGAAAATGGTGCATACAGGACCCAATGGTAGAAGTCCCATAAGGGCATACAAAAATGGTACACACAGGACCCCATGGGATAAATCCCATAAGTACATACAAAAAAGGTGCATACAAGACTCCATGGGATAAATCCCATAAGGACATACAAAAATGGTGCATACAGGACAATATAGGAAAAATCCATAAAGGGCATATGAAAATGGTGCATACAGGACGTCCTGGAATTCCCTCTCAGATGATTCTACAAGCTGATGAGAGAACACACAACTCCACAGAAAATTCCACGCAACCATGCCAGGCTATTTTTCCAGTCAATACACTACAGACTACACCCAGGACACAATGTGTTTTCATACCTCTACAGATGTACAAATAAACATCAGGGTACATCACAGTTAATGTTGTGATGAAAAGAAAAGAAAACTTACCCTAATACACCATTCCTGGTGAAGTGGATGCATGCTGATCTCTATGATCAAAACTCTTTCAAGCACCATATTCCTTCTCAGACAAAAATTGCCTTTCATCAAATCTGAACAAATATTTGCACACTTCTCAAATATTTGGCAGAATTAATTACCATGATATCACTGAATTGACAGATAATAAACAGCTCGCCACTATCCATCGACTTTGCAAAATTCATCATCTTCCAACTTCCTGTCAGACTTTAGCCAAGTACTCCATGCATACGAACTCACTTGAATATTTGTAGAAAGCTGGCGAAAAATTGTCGTTGTTTGTGCTCCGTCTGCCTTGAGTGTCGGAAACAATGTACCATGTTTGCTGTTGGGTTCTGGCGATTGGGTCTAAACTTGGCCATCAATGACTTCGAAAACAGAACTTAAGTAATGCACAAACAAAAACGCTGTTAAGTAGGGAAGGTGGTATTTGTACGCAACGTATATGTGCCAGGGAATATTGCAGTAGGCAGGGTGCAGACGCAGTCAATTTCAAACTATCAAACATTGAAAGATATTTGGTTTTAACTTTGCAGCCACCTCCAAGACATCTCACATGCTTTGTAGTTTCAGAAATTTGCTGAACAGTTTTTCTGTTTGCTTGGTCTGTGCATCAAGATGGTGGTTAGATGGAATGGCTGTCTGTTGTCTTTGAGAAAAAGGTTTGAAGCTGACTTCAGCGTGAAGAAAAACGCAGAAGTTCCATCAAGTGGTCTCAAGTGTACCTCCTTCAAGACTGGTAAAATCTTCACACATTCTTACTCTGAAAAAGTGCATTCTACATTGTGTCTACAATGGAAGTTTGACATTTAAACAAATATGGAAAAGATGAAAAAACTGATTGTTTTGAAATATTGAGGCAGTTTTCTCAGTCCAATGTCACAAAAACAGGTTGTTTTTAAGAGGAGCTAAAATTTAGGGCATCACAAAGAACCCTCATAGACAACTTAACTGTTGAAACAAATATGACAAAGATAACAGGATCAACCTTCTTAAACACTGAAACAGTTTGCTTGGTTCAATATGTAAAGAAACCAGGAAGTTATTATTTTGAAGTTGGATAATAAGGGGCAGAGGGGTAGCCTAGTGGTTAAAGCATCCACTTATCACATCGAAGACCCAGGATCGATTCCCCACATGGGTACCATGTGTGAAGCCCATTTCTGGTGTTTCCTGCTGTGATATTGCTGATATATATGATTGTGATATTATACAATTATAGACTCTTGTAGAGGTCGATATCGGTTTTTATTGACCTGAGTAAAACAATATCGACCGAGCTTGCGAGGACCGAGCTGACGAGCTTGCTTGTCAGTACCCCTTCCTCCAGATATAGAATTATAACATGGTGCTGACAAAACAAGATTCATACTCAGAGCAAAATGGGATTCAAACCTATGATCATAGGATTTAGCTAAAAGGACAAAACTCCTTGACAAATGTGAGCACCTTCGAAACTGGGCCACCTATGCTCTTCATCAGAACAGACCAACAGAAGAAATCACGTGATGTCAGCTGTTACAAATGCCAATACATATCTGCCTCAGTTAGCACACTAATCTAACATCCTAACACTCAGAATAACGTCAAGAAGATGTACAAATTCCAAAACAAAACAAAAAATGAATAGAAAGGATTTTTTAGCCAGCATGATCATAATTGCAAACAGTGTTGAATTCTTTTAAACTTCAAGCAATTTGACACACACCTGTGGACAAAAATGAATATGACAACTTAGGGCTATATGTGTCTTGGTACTTTTCAAACAGTCGTGACATGTTCATCCTCTAGAGAGGGCATGAAACATTTACAGTCATTTGTGTCACATTACATTGACTACTTGATACATCAGGAGAACCGGAATGTTGATTCCCAGTGGTATGTACTGGCTAATCATCGGCATCACGGACCCTGAAGTAGGTGCGACATAGGCAGTGTGAAGGTGACACAGCTTCTCACATCCATAGTCCTATGTCAGGCTGTTTTGTACATACTGAGATGATGGAACTGTGGAACAGGAGACAAGAAGAGATAAAAGAGCTGGAGTTGGAATGTGTGTGTGTGTATATGTGCATGTCTATGTGTGCATATGTGTGTGTATGTGTTTGGGCTTGCTTAAGCGGACAGGCTTGGGGGCTGGGGGGGTCCTCGGGGGAGGAGAAATCACCAAGAGAGACAAGCATGGGGTACTGGGGACCTACTCTACTCCAGAATCACCAAGAGAGACAAGCGTGGGATACTGGAGACCTACTCTGTTCCAGAATCACCAAGAGAGACAAGCATGGGGTACTGGGGACCTACTCTGCTCCAGAATCACCAAGAGAGGCAAGCATGGGGTACTGGGGACCTACTCTGCTCCAGAATCACCAAGAGACACAAGGATGGGATACTGGGGACCTACTCTGCTCCAGAATCACCAAGAGAGGCAAGCATGGGGTACTGGGGACCTACTCTGTTCCAGAATCACCAAGAGAGACAAGGATGGGATACTGGGGACCTACTCTGTTCCAGAATCACCAAGAGAGACAAGCATGGGGTACTGGGGACCTACTCTGCTCCAGAATCACCAAGAGAGACAAGCATGGGGTACTGGGGACCTACTCTGCTCCAGAATCACCAAGAGAGACAAGCATGGGGTACTGGGGACCTACTCTGCTCCAGAATCACCAAGAGAGACAAGGATGGGATACTGGGGACCTACTCTGTTCCAGAATCACCAAGAGAGACAAGCATGGGGTACTGGGGACCTACTCTGTTCCAGAATCACCAAGAGAGACAAGCATGGGGTACTGGGGACCTACTCTGCTCCAGAATCACCAAGAGAGACAAGGATGGGGTACTGGGGACCTACTCTGCTCCAGAATCACCAAGAGAGACAAGCATGGGGTACTGGGGACCTACTCTGCTCCAAATCACCAAGAGAGGCAAGCATGGGGTACTGGGGACCTACTCTGCTCCAGAATCACCAAGAGAGACAAGGATGGGATACTGGGGATCTACTCTGTTCCAGAATCACCAAGAGAGACAAGGATGGGGTACTGGGGACCTACTCTGCTCCAGAATCACCAAGAGAGACAAGGATGGGGTACTGGGGACCTACTCTGCTCCAGAATCACCAAGAGAGACAAGCATGGGGTACTGGGGACCTACTCTGCTCCAGAATCACCAAGAGAGACAAGGATGGGATACTGGGGACCTACTCTGCTCCAGAATCACCAAGAGAGACAAGCATGGGGTACTGGGGACCTACTCTGCTCCAGAATCACCAAGAGAGACAAGGATGGGGTACTGGGGACCTACTCTGCTCCAGAATCACCAAGAGAGACAAGGATGGGGTACTGGGGACCTACTCTGCTCCAGAATCACCAAGAGAGACAAGCATGGGGTACTGGGGACCTACTCTGCTCCAGAATCACCAAGAGAGACAAGGATGGGGTACTGGGGACCTACTCTGCTCCAGAATCACCAAGAGAGGCAAGCATGGGGTACTGGGGACCTACTCTACTCCAGAATCACCAAGAGAGACAAGGATGGGGTACTGGGGACCTACTCTGCTCCAGAATCACCAAGAGAGACAAGGATGGGGTACTGGGGACCTACTCTGCTCCAGAATCACCAAGAGAGACAAGGATGGGATACTGGGGACCTACTCTACTCCAGAATCACCAAGAGAGACAAGGATGGGGTACTGGGGACCTACTCTGCTCCAGAATCACCACGAGAGACAAACATATGAAGTCAGTACCAACTTATTCTGCCGTGGAATCCCGAAAGAGGCAAGATCTAGTTTGTTATCTGGGAACCATTCCCAAGGTCTAAAACTTCATGACCAGCCAGAAAGGATCTGGTAGCTTTTTTTTGTACAGGGTGCTCCATCAACAGTTAGTGTCAGTTGTTGTAAATCCCGGGACAAGATCAACCTTTAACATCCTTGAAAAGTAATCCTAAAAACATTCACCCAAAGTAGCAAATCCATCTCAATCCCGTCTATCATTAGATTAGACAAGTTGCCTAAGTATATAAACCATACATATTTGTTTGTATTTTGTAGTCAAATTAAATTATGAACTAGAACAAGTTGGGGTGAACTAAAACAAGTTGTTTACCCAGTAGAGATTATGTCAACTTTGGAAGGGTACCAGACGAATTGAACATTTGATTTGACATAAAGAGACAAATGTTATTCATTGGCATTCGTGAGGTGAGGTGAGGTGAGGTGAGGTGAGGTGAGGTGAGGTGGAGGTGAGGGTGGGGTGGGGGGGGTGAGGGTGAGGTGAGGTGAGGTGTGGGGTGAGGTGAGGTGTGGGGTGTGGTGTGTGGTGGGGTGTGGTGGGGCGGGGCGAGGCGGCGAGGCGAGGCGAGGTGAGGTGCGAGGCGAGGTGAGGTGAATCGCATTCCTGACTATTTCCCTCTTACAGCGACTTGAATGTACATCTGTGACAAACCAAGCAGTGTAACAACAATCACTGATTTTTATGACCTTTGTCTGGACACATTTGTCACTGAGGCAGACTGTTCTGGTATAGAGTATTCTTTCACTTAGAGAGATATTGATTTTATATTTTCAAATATATAAAGTATCTAATCACATTAAGAATGGTAACTCAGGTACTTGGGTTGGGTCAGTTCTGAATAGGATCCTGACACCAACTGGATCAGACAGACAGACAGACAGACAGACAGACAGTTTTATTTCAGTATATAAGGCCATGGCCCACATTACAGAATAATTTTACATTTTATTTGATGCTGGTAAAACCAGTAACAGTCATACATTATTGCCTTTGAAAGCTATGGAACCATTTTTGCACAATGTACAGGCATAATATACCCTTCCAAAGAAAAAGTAGCAATACTTATCAAAACATCATCCTTAGATGACAAAAGTCTAACAAAACTATCCTTACACGGGTAACCAATATATAGGTATGGCGGAAAACATTCTATCTTATGCATCTTTTAAACATTGACAATTAAATGGTATTCCTCTTCAACTACTGGTATAGCAATATAAACAGAGTCCATGATCCATGGTTAGTATTGTTTAACATCAATAACAATAAATATCTATCGACTTCATAACACACATTGCTATTCCATGTATATAACAATGACATGTAAATAATCATATTTGGACCAGACAATCAAGTGACTGACATTGTAAACATCAACCTACTTCATAACACCAAACTCTGAGAGCTATTCCACGATGGCATGTAAATAATATTTGGACCAGACAATCCAGTGATTGACATTGTAAACATCAACCTACTTCATAACACCAAACTCTGAGAGCTATTCCACGATGGCATGTAAATAATATTTGGACCAGACAATCCAGTGATTGACATTGTAAACATCAACCTACTTCATAACACCAAACTCTGAGAGCTATTCCACGATGGCATGTAAATAATATTTGGACCAGACAATCCAGTGATTGACATTGTAAACATCAACCTACTTCATAACACCAAACTCTGAGAGCTATTCCATTGGCATGTAAATAATATTTGGACCAGACAATCCAGTGATTGACATTGTAAACATCAACCTACTTCATAACACCAAACTCTGAGAGCTATTCCACGATGGCATGTAAAATAATATTTGGACCAGACAATCCAGTGATTGACATTGTAAACATCAACCTACTTCAAACACCAAACTCTGAGAGCTATTCCACGATGGCATGTAAATAATATTTGGACCAGACAATCCAGTGATTGACATTGTAAACATCAACCTACTTCATAACACCAAACTCTGAGAGCTATTCCACGATGGCATGTAAATAATATTTGGACCAGACAATCCAGTGATTGACATTGTAAACATCAACCTACTTCATAACACCAAACTCTGAGAGCTATTCCACGATGCGATGGCATGTAAATAATATTTGGACCAGACAATCCAGTGATTGACATTGTAAACATCAACCTACTTCATAACACCAAACTCTGAGAGCTATTCCACGATGGCATGTAAATAATATTTGGACCAGACAATCCAGTGATTGACATTGTAAACATCAACCTACTTCATAACACCAAGCTCTGAGAGCTATTCCACGATGGCATGTAAATAATATTTGGACCAGACAATCCAGTGATTGACATTGTAAACATCAACCTACTTCATAACACCAAACTCTGAGAGCTATTCCACGATGGCATGTAAATAATATTTGGACCAGACAATCCAGTGATTGACATTGTAAACATCAACCTACTTCATAACACCAAACTCTGAGAGCTATTCCACGATGGCATGTAAATAATATTTGGACCAGACAATCCAGTGATTGACATTGTAAACATCAACCTACTTCATAACACCAAACTCTGAGAGCTATTCCACGATGGCATGTAAATAATATTTGGACCAGACAATCCAGTGATTGACATTGTAAACATCAACCTACTTCATAACACCAAACTCTGAGAGCTATTCCACGATGGCATGTAAATAATATTTGGACCAGACAATCCAGTGATTGACATTGTAAACATCAACCTACTTCATAACACCAAACTCTGAGAGCTATTCCACGATGGCATGTAAATAATATTTGGACCAGACAATCCAATGATTGACATTGTAAACATCAAACCACTAAATCAAGTATGATAACATACAATCACCCAAGAAACGAGCTGATAATCTGATCCCTTTGGTCACGTCTCAAGAAAAGCATAGGATTCTTGTAGTGAGAGAGGCAGTCAGTGAGTTAGGTTTTCTGCCACTTTTAACAATTTTCCAACAAAATCGGAGGATACCAGAAATCGGATTTAAAAATTGTACCCATGTGGGGAATCGAACCTTGACCTTCAGCGTGACAAGCGAACACTTCAACCACAGTGCTGCAGCACTGCCCCACAGGATGCTTGGAACCCTTTGAAATCTGAAATCCCCTGTGGAGCAGTTAACGATAAATTGTTGAAAAATTCATATTCAATACATTATTCAGTATGTCCAACAGATATATGTGTCAAATATGAAAAATAATACCAAAGAATGGCATATCAATTTTTTCATTAAAAAAACATGTGACATTGCTCAGTATCTTTTTTCACAAATGTTATATACATGAGGTCCTGGCTCAGTGAATCCAATTTTGTTTATACTGCTCTACACTAAAGCCGCATTAAGTGAAACAGCCATTGAATGCAGTATACACTGCAGGCAGAATGGTTATGAACTCAGGACGTTGGGAAAATATCTGAGTTGAAAATAGAGAGTGTTTATATTGTGAAAAGATTTATTCAATAAGATTGCTTGAGGAGGAAGAACATTTTCTATAAAATTGTCCATTGTATGAAAACTTAAGAAATGAATACATACATATTGCAAAATATTATTATAATGTTACTAATATCATGTCAATTTGAAACAAGCAGCACGCTTGGAAGTTAGGAGCTTTTATATTTTACAGCTTTAAATTAAGACAAAACTGGATTGAAAACAATTGTAAATGATTTAAATGTATCATGTAAGCATATTTAAACGTGGTTGGCAAAATCAATCCAATATATGTCATATATCATAACTTATATAACGAGGTACTCTGTCAAGTATAATAAAGGACTTTGTATGTGAATTATGGGCCGGATGGCCTACAGTTCTGAAATAAAATCAATCAATCAATCAATGGTTATGAACTCTCCCCAGGGAGTTGAAAATGCAGTTAGGAGGCAAACTGATATACTGTTCAGGATAATGATATGTCATGCAGTTTGAACAAGCCCTTCCACTGTCTCAAGCCATTGGCGTTAAGCACTATTATTACTTATGTGTCTATGAGAAGAATCCCTGCTGCCTACTTGGTGTAAACAGATAGTGTTGACAGTTCATGGTAAACTAACAAACTGTTTTGGTCAGCTTTTGCTCGGGAATCATCCTATTGTTTGGAAGGAATACAAGTGGTAAAGCATTGATTGTTTGTGGTAAAGCATTGATTGTTTGTTTGTTCAATTATCAACCCTGAGTGAGTGAGTGAGTTGGGTTTTACATAAAACATCAAACTAAAGTAAGTTTGAAAGTGTAAGTTTCAGACCTGAAACTGGAAAATCTGGACTTGTTTCCAGAATCTAAGGCTTTGGCATTACAATGAGTGAGTTTGGTTTTACACCGCTTTTAGCAATATTCCAGCAATATCACAGCGGGGGACACCAGAAATGGGCTTCACACATTGTGCCCCTGTGCACAGGGAATCGAAACTGGGTCTTTGGCGTGACGAGTCAACACCTTAACCACTGACTACCTCACCACCCCTGAGAGATCTGGATGTTTTGTTAGAGGTTGAGTTGTGTTCTGAGACCAGAGTGACTTTCTACACATTTGATTTATACTTTTGGGCCGCAAGAGCCATTCAAGAGTTTTATTTATGCTGTTATTTGAACTGACCATCCATAAATAGCAAATGCCCTTGGGTTTCATCGGCAGCTTTAAAGCTTTAACTTTAATTTTGCTCTGGTACTTAAAAAGGAATGAAAGATCTTCTTTTTGAGCTCAGAGAATTTGAACTGACCATCTGTGAAAGTATCTGTCCTAGTGCCTCAACAGCAATTATTTGGGATTATTTGTACTGTAGGACCCAATACTGCATTAAACGATGTTCATTTAACTCTGAAATGACCATCCATAAAAAGCACCTGCCTTTGGGCCTCAATGGCCATTAAAAAGCTTTGTTTCAGCTCTTGAGACCACAAAGGTAGGAAAGACCTTCATTTG